CATTAATTGATCCTTTAAAGCAGTTATTTCCCTTGAATGAATATTTTACCCAATTTTTGTCGAGCCTGCGACTTTTGTTGCAGAAAGCTCGACATAGGGATAGTGATCCGGCGACGGCGGTGGCGGCGGCATTAGCTAACTTCTTAAAAGCTTTATATTTTAGAAGCTAGAAGACCTGGATGCTTCATACTTTGTATATAGATGCCTTATGTTACTAAGTTTCCGTCTGTCTTATGTCCATTGTCCTTGACCTCATTTTCATGGTTCAGTGACTACTTGAAAAAAAAAGTCAACATTTTTTGTAATGTTCATTTCTTTCTTATTATGAGTAATAGGATAACTATATTTAGTATGTGTGTACCTTGCAAGGTCCTCATGCCCGTCAGACAATTTTCATTTGACCTCGAGATCATTTCATGGATCAGTGAACAAGGTTAAGTTTTCTTGGTCAAGTCCATATATCAGATACTATAAGCAGTAGGTCTACTATATTTGGTATATGGAATGATTGTAAGGTGTACATGTCCAACTGGTAGGTGTCATCTGACCTTGACCTCATTTTTATGGTTCAGTGGTCAAAGTTAAGTTTTTGAGTTTTGGTCTTTTTTTCTAATACTATATGCAATAGGTCAACTATAAATGGTGTATGGAAATATTTTATGATGTACATGCCAGTCTCACAGGTTTAAAAATATTTGACCTTGACCTCATTTTCACGGTTCATTTCTCAGTGTTCAGTTTTTGTGTTTTGGTCTGTTTTTCTGCAACTATAAGCAATAGATCAACTATATTTGATGTATAGAAGGATTGTAAGGTGTATATGTCTGTCTGGCAGGTATCATCTGACCTTGACCTCAAGTTTTCATGGTTAAGTTTGTTTCTTAGATACTATAAGCAATAGGTCAACTATATTTAATGCCTAAATTGATTGTAAGGTGTACATGTCTGTCTGGCATGGTTCATCTGACCTTGACCTCATTTTCATGGTTCATTGGTCAATGTTAAGTTTTCTTGTTTAAGACTGTTTCTTAGAAACAGTAATAAGAAACAGTAAGCAATAAGTCAACTAAGCTTGGTTTATTGAATGATTGTAAGGTGTACATGTATTTCTCGTTTGGTTATCTGACCTTGACCTCATTTTCTTGGATCATGTTAAGTTTATGTGTTAACTTGTAGTAAAGCTTTGTATTTAGGACTATCAACATAAAATCAATGGTTAGTAAAGAAGGCGAGACATTTCAGCGTGTGCACTCTTGTTTTTGTACAGACAACTTTTAACTGCACAAATGTATATAAAACATATATCTTTAAATAAGTCAACATGACCACTTAATGTAAAAATTATTGGAGCTAGCTAAAATACAAGTGTAAATTAGAAAAAATGATCAGCTTGACAAGATGTACAAATTTATCCACCAAGGAATAAAAAGATTACTTTATTTTTATATATTGCCCCTGAAATACCTATTTTTCTTACTTTTAGGAGTTTTTATGCCCCATTTATGGGCATTATGTTTTTCAGTCTGTGCGTCCGTTCCTTCGTCCGTCCATATGTCTGTCTGTCCCGCTTCAGGTTAAAGTTTTTGGTCTTTCAGGTGAAAGTTTTTGGTCAAGGTAGTTTTTGATGAAGTTGAAGTCCAATCAACTTGAACTGTTAAAAGTGTTGTCTGCAAAAATGATCAGAATGACAAGATCTATGTCATGTATGTTCTTTAATGGTATTTTTAACATTGATTTCTGATTTTGGAGTTATTGCCCCTGAAATGCTGATATTTACTGTTTTTTTTACAGTTTGGCTTGATATCTATTAACTTATACAGATAGGTTAGGTTAAACCTGTTAAATGCAAAAGTGATCAGCAACACAAACAGTACCTATATATATATACAGCTGTATAGTATGTCCATTTAAAAGTCCTAGTAAACTGGTGTTTTGTTCACCAGGTGAGTGATACAAAGCCTCTTGTTTCAAAAGAAATTTTGCCATAATTCAGTTTTTTAGACATTTCTAGTTGTAGGTTGCAATTCTGTAAATATAGACAATGCAATTTCCCATAGGAACTCCCTTTGCAGCTAAAACTGTGACACTTTTACTATGAAGTTTCGTGAAAAATAATATCCTAGAACGGAAAGTTTATATGCACTACTATTTTATTCAAAGGTCAAAATATAGGGCTGTGCGGCATATTTTCAACATTTATATGCCCTGAACTTCTAAGAGTTTAAACTTATACTAAAATTTTATACTACCCTTACCTCCATTTTTGGACCTCCTAAGAATTAAAATTTAGGCGCTACCATGTTTTTCTATACTGGTTACATTCCCAAGTGATGTCTCTATGAAATGAAACACAGAGATCATAAATGGGAACCAGTAAGTTAACAAATTAACATATCTATGAATATTATATATCTCCCCAAAAGAGGCGTGGTTTGAGAAAAAGCTGTATTTACAAAGTGCAACCTGTAACTTATTTTCATAGAAATTGATCCAATATCCACCCATTTAGCATGTTTAGGTGGGAATCATATCTCTGGCCTTACATCATCTACATTATTGATGCAATATTCTGGGTTATTTCGGAAAACCTTCATCAGAGACCATCCCTTTTGTTTTTTGATTCAGCCATGCTGGATCTATGCGATCACTCTGTTTTTGGAGATGGTGCAGAATACTAAGTTGAAGACATGTCATGAAACTAATTATGTGTTTTTATGACTTGCAGAAACTTTCTACACCATTTTAATCATCAACTGCCAACTTTTGACATGTTATTTGCCCTTAAATTAAGAAAAGGTTGGTCGAACAACCCTTTTATTTTAGATATACACTTGCATATAGTTTCTTTGTAAAGCAAAATTTATAATGATTTACTATTTATGAAATAAATTGAAAAAGTATTTTTACATCAATTGAACCATTGATAACAATTTTGAAAGTATTATATTATTATCTTATGCCTGTGTAAGTTTTTGTTCTATGAAATTTAGGTCAACATGTGTGTTAATATATCTAAGTTGATTCCCACACTTTTTTGAAATGGTATTACTCCAATTCTTTCCATAGGCAAGTAAGAGTCAGTATGATTATAAACTGTCATGATTTTCAAATAATTACACTCAAAGGTGTAAGTATTAATTGGAAACAACCCCAGTCTTAATTCACCACATTTAATATCTCATGACCTGTTACATAATTAAATAGGCACAATTTATTACACACCTAACTGAATACACATATTCTTGACCTCAATAGTAAACCTGCAAATGTCTTATTTATTTTGATCTACACTACATTAAAATATTCTGTTAATTTTGCTAGCTAGCTGAATGATTAATCAGACATGGTTTTTTCGAAGAAAAGACAAAAAATGTAAAAATATGTATAAAAAATGCAAGCAAATTTTATTTCACTTGTGAAATCAGTGTCATTATCATCTGACATAAGTCAAAAATCAAGATCTAATTAATTAGTTACAATTATCAGAAATTTGGTTGAAACAATAAACAAAATTGCTTAACTCTTACCTGAGCATTTTCTGCAATAAAATTTATTTGTTTGTTTAACATTTATATCCCATTATATTGCTATTTAACAGTAATTGGAAATATATCAGCATTAGGTATTTGTACATTTAAATTTGAATACAGGAAATGTATTTTTTCTTAATGAAGAATGAACACCAATTTAGATAAAAATTAGTTATTATTTTTTTTCATTTTTGTTGTTGAGAAAGTGCATTTCCAAGGCCTCTTTCTGGAAATTATTAAGCCAGTTATAATTAATGGCATATAAAAAAATGTATTACTTGTTTGACGATTTCCCTTTCCATTCATGTCAATACCATTAAATTGCAAATATTTATAAAAAAAAAAATCTGACAGTCTAAAATTGAAATATCAATATATATATATCATTAATTTAATAATATTTTATTGCATTAATCAAGCAATAGGATTGGACACAAGTTATAACAACTTACATTAAGTCCTCTCTTTACATATATACAATACACATATATGATGACAGCAAACACATACATAATATAGCGACAGTTAAAGAAAATAAAGGAAGGAGTCACACATTGGCATGGCAACAAAAAAAGCAAATAGGACAGAAAGAAAAAAAGAAAGCTGCTGACTTAGAACGTTAAAATCTATTTGACTGTTTAATGAAATAACGAACTTTATCAAAAATTTTAGAATTAGTTTCGTAATTATATGCATCTTTTCAATATATCATTATTTGCATCAATATTGCGAAATTCCCTACCTGTGGGCAATAACATAGAAATTTAACAGTAAGATTGGAAATGAAAAGAGAAAAAAATATTGAAAAAAGTATGGTCAGAAAGAATATCAGACTAGCTATGAATATGGCTGGATCACAACATCGACGATGCTTTGATTTGTTTTTATGCCCCCGCCATAGCGGAGGGGGCATTAAGTTTTACCCTTGTCCGTCCGTACGTCCCAAAGTTGGTTTCCATTCTCTAACTTTAGTTTGCCTCAACCAAATGTTACGAAACTTATACACAATACTTATTACTACAAAATACAGATCAAGTTTGAATATTGGTGGTGTCACTTCAACAGTTATAGAGTTATGCCCCTTTACAAATGGAAAAATTGCTGAATTTTTCGTTTCCGTTCTCTAACTTAAGTTAGCCTCAACCAAATGTTATGAAACTTATACACAATGCTTATTACTACTAAACACAGATCAAGTTTGAATTTTGGTGGCGTTACTTTAACCGTTCTAGAGTTATGCCCCTTAACAAATGGAAAAATTGCTGAATTTTTCGTTTCCGTTCTCTAACTTAAGTTTGCCTCAACCAAATGTTATGAAACTTATACACAATACTTATTACTACAAAACTCAGATCATCAACAAATTTGGGTAGCGTCACTTTTACCTTTCTTCAGTTATGTCCCTTTATAACTTTAAATGATATATATGCAAGTTGGGGCATCATCTGTGCCCCATGGACACATTCCCCATTTTTTCAATTATTTCTTTTTTAATTACTGTTTTACTTTTATTTCTATTCATTTTTTTTTTTTTTTAATTTATTACAGTTTTAATTTTTAATTTTTTAAATAGTTTTTGAATTGTTTTTTTTTTAATTTGTTAATTAGAATTTGCATTTTAATTTTTTGTTTTTCAAACAATTTTAACCAATGTTGAATTAAGTGTTTCATAGTAAGGAAGTGTGGTCTTAAGAATATCAGTTTACATGCGTTGTTTACATGATGGTCATTAATTAGTTCTGCACAGTTAAATGTTAGTAGGAACTGTGAGGTTTATATAAATTATTTTATAGCTTTGTTTCACTTATTCACCAATGTTTCTATTTCTTTTGAATCCTATTGATAGGTTTTATGGAATTTGGCACCTATTGTAGAATTTGTTTTAATAAGATGCAAGTATTTCCTGAATACTTTTTGAAGTTTTCTGCTTGAGAATGATAATTTGTACTGAATGATATATTATATCTATTTTCAACTTCGTTCCTTTTCTAGACATAATTTCATAGAAATTGATCCAATATCCACCTATTTAGGTGAGAATCATATCTCTGGTCTAATTTCATAGACAAAATTTCGTAGAAGTTGATTCAATGTCCACCCATTTAGGTGCAAATCACCATTTTAAATTGTGCTTTCAAGCAGTTAATTCATATGTAAAAAAAAAAAAGCTATGGATGATAAACATTTTCAGCATGAGGTTTAGGCCATTCTGTTCTTATTTCAGATTGACATATATCCATGGGACATCATGCAGTTAGCCTAGACAAATATGAAGAGAAAGGTCTCTGATTCAATTCTCTGTGAAGTTCAAGGACTTTCTCAGTCAAATATGGGAAGATGTGAAAGGTAAGTTTGCAAGTTTTTAAGTGTGCATAAATATGTTATGTTTAACAAAATGTGCTGTTTCACAATTAAAATACTATCAAAACAACTCCTGATTGCTCAACATTAAACTTCTGAATTATCCATGAATCATCTTCATGATTGTCCCACATTATTTGCTCACCTGACTGGTTTGGTCAAGTAAGCTATTTTCATCACTTGGCATCAGTCATCCATTATTTTTTACAAAAATCATCTCCTTTAACCACTGCAGGGCTCAACAATAATGCGTGTAGATTGTCCGATACCAGAGGAAAAAAAGGTCGGACAAGTAAAAGCCATATGATTCTTGTCCGACGGGACAAGTTAAATCATTCTGTATAAAAAAAATATTAAATCCAACTTTGACGATAAAAGTAATTACAAAAAAACAATAAAAGAAGATAAAAGCAATTATTAATTTGACATGTTTACTTGCAACCAATAATTTAATACTGGTTCTTTGTCAGATACTTTTTAACAGATAAAACGCATACTATCGCATACTATCGCATACTATCTCCGAATCCGGTCTTACTGCTTTGTAGATAAGGTAGTAACAAGACAGTTTGGCACCAGCACGGAAACGAATCGGCTCCATGTGTAATCAACAGTTTGGCACTGTAGGAGATATTTTGGGACCAAGACAACCCAGTACCTCATTTCCTTTCCTTATTCTGTTGCTTTATAATAAATATGATAAATTTTATTTATCAAAAATATTTTTAAAATAAACATGAATAAATTATTGACTATTAAATTCAGAAAATTATATTTGATCATATGTAGACAAAACAATATTTGATTGTAGTCAGTCAGGGGACTTACTTAAATGAGTGATTTTCTAAATCACTGATTCAAGTAACATTATGTCCATAAAGGTTAGAAGTAAGAGTTGTCTTTCTTTAATAATCACCTATTTAAGTAGTACAAATTAATCACTAGACTAAGTGATTTAATTTTATTGTAGCTTTAAATATAGAATACTAATGATCCAGGGACCGATTATGTTGCTAAAATTATCAGAACCAACATCTGTGTTGATAGGATGAGTGGGTCATGTCAGGTGATGACCTTGTACTAAATCTAGGATAATGACATAAAAATCACTTGTTTAAGTATCATACCTTAATTTCCTACCAAAAAATCACTCCTTTAAGTATCATTATTTTAACAACCCCCACTAATTTCAACACCCCCGAACAGTGAAATTTTGATCGCGAACAGTAGAATTTTATTACATAATCTATAAGATGAAACCTTGAATTTTACAGGAAAAATACTCCCACTGCTGGGAAAAATCTGTTAAGAAAGTATCAGTTCATTATGTAAAGCCATTTTTATAGCATTTTTTCAACTAAAATAGAATTTGAAGCTAAATGATTGCATCGAAGGCATAAACCTTGCTGCTTAAAAGAAGCAAAAAGTTCATTTTTTTCAATTTTACTATTTAAATGAAAAGATACTATCTAAACCTATGTGTTTAAAATTTTGGTAAAACTACAAAATCACAATTTGTGACAAAACTTCGAATTTGCTACTTAAATAAGTGATTTAAAAATCACTTATTTCAATATGTCCCCTGACTGGTAGTAGGGCATCAATCATAATAATCAATATTTTTAACATAAAAGACCAGGATACAAACCAAATGAGTGTATTATGACTAGCAGGCCTACCAGACTGTGCCTCATGTGCTGAGTCGGATGAGACTTTGGCTTTGATGAATACTAGATTTAGTTGTTCTCGACTCATCTTTTGAAAAGGATATCAAGAGATAATAATCAAATTCTGTTCCATTGTTTTTACTCATTTTGTTCATTGAATCAGCTTAAAATGCAAAAAAGGTTAATATTAAGATTTTTTTGGACAAGTTAACAATTCCATTCGGACAAGTAAGGTGGTCAAGTCCTTATCCATATCCTTTAACTTTAAGCAGTAGGTCATATATTTGGTGTATGGAGTGATTGTAAGGTATACATGTGCAACTGACAGGTATCATCTGACCTTGACCTCAATTTCCTGGTTCATTGCACAATGTTTAGTTTTTGTGGTTGGGTCTATCTCTCAGGTAATAGTAGCAATAAGGCCACTATATTGGTGTATGAAATGATTGTAAGCTGTATTTGCTTGACTGGTTAAACTGATCGTGACTTCATTTTCATGGATCATTATAATGGATCAAGTTTATGCGATAATTGTAGTAAAAGCGTCATATTTTCAATCATAAGTAAAGCAGGCATGACATTTGTGAATGTATCTTGTTGAAATATTTTCTATGCCAAAAAAATATTATGTCATGTATGTGTGTTTCCAGGTGCATGTAAAAAAAAATAAAGGGTCAGAAGGTCAGGATATTTTCTTACTAATTTCATAGTGAAGTTCTTTGAACTTTTGTTCAAATGTTTTGAAGTTTGAAACTGTCATGAATGTTTGTATATCATGTATATATATTAGATTTATGGTTGTATTTATATAATCAAGTGTACTGCAAGCACACATTAGCTGGCCAATTGTTTATTAGCATTCATGTTCACAAATAGTGCAAATCAGGGACATATGCTAAGGAAGAATTTTTGATTTTTGATTTTTTTGTCAGAGCCAATAAATCAGCAAATCGAAACACATCTTTTTTGTTGTTAGCCCTATTGAAAACTATAGTAAAGAGAGGGAAACAGTTTGAATAGTAAAAATGATCAACACCATAACATCTACAAATAAGTCACATGGCCAAAATCTTCAGTTGAGTTATTGCCTGTCAGTGAAGTTTTCTTTCTTTAATTTTATTATAGAAAAATAGAAACTTTAAAAAGCAAAAATGATGATCATGAGCTTTAGATTTTTTTCAAAATCCAGGTTGATTTGAAAAAGTTATAGAAATTTTTAAAGGTGACTGTCAGAATTTGGTTCAAACTGAAAATTGTAGCTTTTATACCTATTAATTAAATCCTTATGTTTGACAGCAATAAACCAAACTATAAAATAACCTTATCAATACATAATTTATATAGATGGGCTGATTTATCAGGCCATTCATTAGGAGGCGGTACCTGGTACTTTTACCCTCCTAAGCTATTGACAAGTACCTCCTAAATGTAGGAATTTTTATATAAAGTATTCATGGAATAAAATGAAAAGTACCACCTACAAATGGGGAAAGTACCAGTCAACATGAAAGATAATGAAACCCCTGAATTTTATGACCAGTCCAGACTAAAGGAGTAGGTTCGATAACACCCTAAAACAGCCCTTATTTATAGCTACAATTTCAAATTAGGATTTATTGACCAATATCACAATGAATCATAGCTAATACAATGACTAGATAGAAAATATGTCTTTTTGTTGGAAAATTTACGTACTTGCGTTCTATTCATGACGTCACAGATAGCACTCACTCAACAAAAATTCAATGAAAACGGGTAAATTTCCAACGATTTTTTGGACAGGAAACATAGAGCGCATGCGTCGTCGACAAAAAAGCTTTTTTTAACAAAATGTGTGTTATCACATTTAACATATCTGACTTAAGTATTTAGTTTGTGGACGCCTGCACTCTATGTTTCCTAGGCCTTAATTTGTTTAAAATCTGGACGATTTGGTCAAATTTCGCAAAAATCTGTATTTTTGACCTATTTGGGATTTAAAAATCAACACTTTAAAACAAAAACTTTGACAAAAAAAGTTCTATTCAAATTTCTCACATGTCTTTCTATCCCTTTAAAACATTTATTATTTTGAAAAATTAAACTTAATAATCGGGGCCAAATATGACCCTTACCAAACTTACTCCTTTAAAGGTCAAGACGGGTGGAGACTGGGTCAAGACTGGTCGAGACCGAGTTGAGATTGGTCAAGACTAAGTAGAGACTGGTCGAGACTGATTGAGCTTTTGGCAAGACCTTACCAAGATTATCAAGTACTGTATTAGACTCATTAGGTTAAATTGTAGACCAAAGTCAAGTACAGTTAAGTACAGTCTAGATAATGTTGAGTCTTTTCAAGTAAAATCTGTACTCACTGTTAAAGTCAACTTTACATTGACAGCTGCAATCACAGGCGAGACACTGGGTTCTAAGGAACCCCTTACAAATTTTTCTTAAAACTATTTAAATTTGCCTTGTTTGTTTTAAGACAATTATTGGTAAAGTAACATAATTAAATTAATAGGATTAGAACTTTGCCTCTCTTTTAGAGAAGAAGATATCTGTAGTATGATTGCTAATCCTAATGCTAACTCTAAAAGTAAAAAAAAACTGTTTTCTTTTTTAAAACTTTTCCAGTTTGCCCCATTTGTTTGCAGGTAATAATCGGTAAAGTAACATATATATATAAAAAAATGAGAACACCAGATTAGAAAAAAAAGATGCAGTATGATTGCTAAGGAGACAACTGCCTTAATAAGAACAATATTTAAACATCATCAGTGTGATATGGCTTCAAATATTGAACAAAACAAATGACATACAGTAAGCAATGAAAGGTCCTGTGATAACAAAATCATCTATTATAAGAAAGAACAAAATATGTCGACAAAAACAATCATGAATAATATGCCTGAAGGACTTTAAAATATTGAACTTGAAGTGACTTTTCTTTGTAGGATACATAGAAATCTTGGAGGACAAATTGACGAGAGTCTTAAAAGACACAGATATGAAGATAAACAAGAGGAAAAAAGAGCCAAACATAGTTCATTTTGTAGTTTAAAGGACTGCAGACTTCCTGATATCTTTCAAACTGTTGTGTTTTTTGGTATAAATGTAATAATGCATTATCATCTTATTTGTATAGGCATACATCCTGAAAATCTTGTTGGTACCTTTTATCTCCATTAATGCAACCGCTATTTATAAAACATTGTTGTGATTGTAGTTTTATATGTGAGTTTATTAGTTAACTAGTGCGTAGTAATTGCATATATGAATTATTTTATACCATATCTATCAATCTTGGTCTTTTTAATTAAGAAATAATTTTTAAAACCTTGCTCTTTCAATCCTAGTACATCTATTTTAATTACTTTGCATAGTTTATAAGTTTAAGTAATGCCATTTTATTTCCACATTTGAATTTTACAACAAAAAATACATAAAGATCAGATTTATATCTGTTTTAACAGTTTATTTAATGGAATATTATATTTATGTTTAATTTGTAATATGCACTTTGTCTCATTTTTTTTTCAATTTGACACATTTTCTTTTATTAATCATCAAATTTCAACAAATGTTGGAAACAAACTTACATAAAAACTTTTCAAATGTATCAAAATTCTGTGTTGTAAAATCTTAAAGATTTTCTTTTTCAGTATTTTTCCCAATATGTTTAAGAAATCTGTAGCATAATTTTTGCTTGTAGATTTTATTTCGGGATTTTTCCCGAAATGGGTAAAAAATCTATGCAACAAGTGTGTGCCTGATAATAGATTTATATTTTCGGGATTTTTCCCGAAATGTGAAAATAAATTATTAGTCATGAGTTCTAGCATATACGTTGGGTTTTCGGGATAAATCCCGAAGTATTTAAAATCTTGCATATAGATTTTTTTTTTTTTTTATTTTTCCCGATATGTTTGAAGAAATCTGTAACATAAATTTTTGTAAATTTGGTTTCAGGATTTTACCTGAAATGGTTAAAGAAATCTATTCAACAAGTGATTTAGTTTTTCGGGACTTTTCCCGAAATTTGAAAAGAAATCATTAGTCATAAGTTTTAAGTTATAGCATATTTATATGTTGGGTATTCAGGATAATTCCTGAAATGTTTGAAGACATATATGCTTTATACATTTTACATTTAGATTATTTTTTCGGGATTTTTCCCGAAATGTGTTTAAGATCTGTTTGTCACATAGCTATTCTACCAAAAGTTTTAATTAATGTTGAAAGTGATTTCGGGGAAATTCCCGAATAAAAAGTTGTCACATACATTTTTACCACAAATATTTTGGGAAATTCCCCGAACACTAAATGTAAGTTTTATCAATTATAAGAATAAAAGCATGGAAGATTGTAAAAATTGTGTGTTTCTTTATGAAATCTGCATTCATTTATGGTAAACATTGAAAAAGCTTATAAATAGGAATAAAATGGATTTTACTCTTTTAAAATAGAGTCAGTTTATGGTAGTTGGAACAAATAACACCTAACCGTTCTGACAAAGCGGTAATTTCTTCGCCCGGGGATATGAATTTGACATTAATCTTCCTTCAGTAACTTTACAATACCCAGCCGTGTCATTTCTGTATATTGTACATGTAGATAGTACGTGTGATACATGTATATGTTACAGGGAATTTGTAAAATCACTGAACTGATTAGTAATTTTATAAAATCTCTGATTTTAACTAGTGATTTTACAAAATCCCTGAAATAATTAAGATTTTTTTTACAGATTCACTGAATTAAATTCAGGGAATTGGTAAAATAAATTCATTCATTTTTATTAAGAATTTCTGTGAAAAAGCCTACAATAGTAACACTCAATAAGTTTGAGGTTAACCTAGCCTTTATTTTAATACTAAGTGAGCAGTTTGCATGCACTATACAACTGACATACTGTAGAAAAAGGCTCAGGTACAGATGTCTTTAAATCAAGAGCAAAAATACAAACAAAAATTACTTCAAATAATTGAGGTAAAATTAAAGTGCAACATATGGAACCGGGGAAAATATGATGAAATTTTGGAACATGTTGTCAATGAGCCACAGAAAGAAGACAAAACAAGCTCTTATCACTACCTTGTTTGAAAGAACGTTACTGTTTATTATATTTTTTCTGTAATTACTGTAAAAATAAAACCAATTATATCAAATTTTAAAAAATCAAATATAAAAACAGATCATTAGGTTGATTGCTGTCATAAAAGAAGAAAAACACATATGTTAGGTATAAGAAATTGAGTGGGTTAGGGTATGTGATCCAGTGGCAAATATTACATGCATTTTCAGAGCAAGAGCATCTTATTGCTGCATGAAAATTGATATATAAAAAGCAAATAAGTGTTGTATTATTAATTTGCTGCCTACAAAATAACATTTATATTCACAAAATAATAATAAAAAAAGACAACAGAAAATATAGGTAAGAATACTTTGTTTTGTACTTGCATGTTTATGAATAGGTTCTAACCAAGCAAAAATAAAAAAAGTTTTACTTTGGTTGATTTGATACAGACATGCATCGAAAAGCAGGGCAATTATGTAACAATAGATGTCACCAAAACTTGCCATGCAAAAATAAGTAAATTTACAGTGGTCTAAATATCCGTTTATATGCCTTTTAGTCATTATCATTTAATACACTTAGTCTAGTTCTAGCTCATGGTGTTTATTAAACAATTATATTTCAAAATCATTAGTGATGATAACTCTATTTTTATATTAAGAAAAACACATTTCTAATAGCAAGTTATACTTAATTGTAATCAAGGATTTTACAAAATCCCTAGCTCTATTTTCAGTGATTTTGTAAAATCCCTGACAATTTCAGGGATTTTACAAAACCACTGAAACTGTTAGCGATTTTACAAAATCACTGATTAGTCCAGTGATTTTACAAAATCCCTGATTTTACAAATTCCCTGTAACATATATACACCAGAAATACCAATTCAAGTGAATTTTATCTTTAAGAGGACTCCATATCGGGTAACATTAAATATACATAACAATAAAATTACAAATAAAATAAAATGATAATGATAAGTTCAAACGTTGATTTATTAAATGCACATAGTACGTATTTGTAAACTTATATTATTACTTTATTTAAAATTTTATTTTTCTCGTTGGGTTGTTGTCCATTAAATTTACCCAATATTCTTTTTTTCGGTATTTGTATTTTTGTAAAAAGCCGCTCAACAATCAATTTCACTAGAAATTTAACAAGAAAAATACTCATAAGTCATGAACATTAATTAAAGTATAATTATATTATAACTTGCTATCAATTTTTGTCGAAAAATTGTTTTTGTGCACTCATGACTCGTATATGCACACATGACGAATGTAAATATTCGTTGAACGCTTTTTTTTTCCAGTTGTTATTTTGGAAAATTTTGATATTTATCTTCGAGAGGTATCTAATTTTTTTTATAAACTATTGAGGGCACGTGCCACTAATTACACAACTATTCAGCCGTAAATTATCCAATCAACAAAATTGATTGGATTATCCTTATTGCTTATGAATATTATATCATTTTTATTAAAACAGTGTTTTGAGTAAAATTAAATTACACACATTATACGTTATTTTTCAGTTGTTGCGGAATTGTTTCATGTTTACTTTATGCGTTGTTTATTTGTACGATTATGAAGAAAAAAATGCATTTTTCAGTTTCTCGTATAATCTTTGTCTGTTACATGTATATATTTCTTGCATGTAGATACATAGTTCTCGTATCAAACTGCACGAACGGAGTGTGATAAGAAAATGACTCACGAAAAACTTTAATTTTACTTATTAGAAAAATACCCAAATATGATAAATGACAGAAACTGAGAGGAAAACGGAGATTATCTAAATCCTTCCAGGCTTTTAATACTGGGCCCGTATGCATCATAAAATTGAGAATGGAAATGGGGAATGTGTCAAAGAGACAACAACCCGACCAAAGAGTTTCTTCAGTTAAAATTCGTTCTGAACGGACTGATTGTTCTTCATGCCCTACGATAAATGACGATACAAAACAAAATCTTGCTTCATGAAAATTAAGGAGAAATGTTGATGAGAAATTCAAATCTTATTTCCCTTTTCGAACTCTGGTCGTTCGAGGAATTCATTATTGGACAAGAACGAGTTAATTGTAAATAGGGGAATAAATCTTACTTCATACAATTTGAAATTAAATCGTACTTTTTTTTCACAAAAAGGCTATCGTTATAGAGATAATTAAAAAAAAGATATTTCAGAATTTCACTCGTTCAAGAAATGTATTACTAGACAAGAAGTCTTCAACTTACAAGTTTATTGTGTCCCTGTTTAGCACATACCTAAATATCATTTGATCCCAAAATTGTCAACAACATTTGATTTGTCGTAGTAAATTCTATTGAGCACAAAACAAATCCAAACCAGATTTGAATTATATGGATATTCATTTTTTGTCTTAAAGAAATACAAAGAAAAATAATAATTCACTTGTTTGACTTTGAAACACGGAGTTAATGCGATGTACTTTAAATTACATTTTGCACAAAATATCAATTTCATCCTAGAAATGAGAAACTTTTTCTTCATAGAAATGTATGAAATAGTTTACACTGGACATTAAACAACCGACAATCAACCAACTAAAATATATCCAAGGGATTATCATTATGCATGTATATGTATATAAATGCCGGATACCATAAAAATATATTGAACAATCAACAAAATATAAGTGCTGTCAAAAGAAAAATAATTGATTATCATTAGGATATCAAAACAATTCGCGTACAAAGTTTATAAATCGATCTGTTTAACACACTATATAGATGTATTTAGAAGTCACAGTAAGCATTAAACTAATGCATGGCGAAAAATAAATATACGAAAACAATAGGTACAATGTGCAAATTATATTTAAAAAAATAACATTTAATTTATAAAACTTATGACTTTAATTTAAGTATTTTTGATGGGATGTTGAAGTTTCCAGAACATAGAAAATACACAAGAAAACCTCTTATTATACTACATGTATCAAAATGTGCTTGTGGTACATTTAACTTTATATAATTGTTTAAGAATTTAGTTTATTCTTACTCATTCGGACATCTGTGTCCCTGGGTCTGAACAAGAAATTGCGAGGACGTTATGCTGATCATTTTACCTATAAATTGATTTTTCAACAGAATTTTATGTTTATAAAATTTTTAAATTTTAGTTTTTTCTTTGTGAAAACAGAATGGCCCTAAAGCTAAATGTCATCGTCAGATGTATAATGGAAGGCGCTAAACATTTTAGAATATATACCACCTGCTGGTTATTTTTTTACCTGGACACAGATCTTATTACGTAACAAGTACGAATGTAAAACTATCGATATGGTTTAGTCAGTAGAATATACACGGTATCTCTGGACTGGGGTTTTTAAGATATTTTGATCTGACAATGTATGTAAATTTATTTGTGCTTTATGTAAAAAAATTCTTTTAAAATGTGTTGACTTGGCGCATATATATATATATATTCAAAATCGGAGAACTGATTTCCAATTATAGACCAATCACATTATTATCAGCAGTAGGCAAAGTATTTAAAAAAAAATGTACTTAAAAACGTATTTAATCACTTAATCAGTTATAATATTTCAAATAGACAAGAAAGCGTTTTTTTTTTTTAAAGTTTATATTTGCCTTTTGAGAATACTAATGCAGGAGTGCACAAGGCTCTGTATTAGGTCCCCTACTGTGATAATTCCTTATTCATGTATATGACATAGCTAGTAATTTGATAAGTCTAACTCGATTGTGTGCTGATGAAAATCCCTTTCTTATTCAAGTAATAGTCCTTACACGATAGAAGATGTCTTAAATAGCGACTTAGAACAAATCTCAGCATGGTCTAAAGATTGGCTTATTGATTTTAATCCTAACAAGACAAATGCTATGCTATTCTCCTGCAGTTCTTGCTCAGATGATATTAAAATAGAACTTCAAATTAGTTATTAATTTATCCTGACTTGTTTTAAATAAATTATCATCCTGCCTTTTCTTTTTGGCAAGTTGCCCATCCTGCCTTTTTTTTCAAAACTCCTGTCATGCCTTTTTCAAATTTCACTCTAGCCTCCCCCCTAAAAATCAAATCTTAGCTCCCTTATTTTGAATCAGTTTTCCTCCGACAATAAAGTACAAACTAGCAGTAGTGGCAGTTTGACATTCCTTCATAAAATGAGCTGCGTGTCGACTTACTTTTAGATATGCTTATTGTGATGTATAGTTAAAACTTATAAATTTCATTCTTCTGAAAACGTAGTTTCAAACATTAAAATGTTATGAAGACTAATACACTGTGTGTGTCCATGTAGC